TACTCGTCGACCCTCTGCAGCCGTCACTGTTGTGAATGAGATCCAGATTTAAAGGTCAAAGTCCGGGAAAAAGCGAAAGTGATTCAGGACAGGTAGCCTGCGGTTCCAACTCACCAGAATAGTTTTGAAGTCGCCCTCTAAAAAGTTTCTGAACGGTGTCAGGAAGTTGATGGCGGCACTCTGGATGAACTCCCGTTCTGCCCCACCAATCTGCTTCTCCGTCTCTCCACATTTTATCAGAGCGTTTCCTACAATGGTCAGCAGCAAAAGGAAAGTTTAGTGCCAGCAGAAAACTTGGGAGGGAGAATGATGATATTGTTTCAGCTTGACACTGATAAAGGGCCTGGCTGGGACTGAAAATAGCAGAAGATGGTTCTTAAATCATCAAAATGTTCTTTAAAGCAAACAAACCAGAGTTTAACTCTGTTTTACAAGTCTTCATGAGACAGAATACTGGAATACCAAACAAGCTGATGATGTTTTGAGAAATATTTAGAGATTTTTAAGATTAGGCTTAAAAATCTTTCCTTCTGATAAAGCTTATAGTTAGGGCTGGATCAGGTGACTGGATCCTTAGTGATGCTGCAACAGACCTAGGCTACTGGGAGTTACCCATGATGCACTGCATTTCCTCTTTGTTCACACCACCCTGCATGTAATCAGTAGTTATTATTAATCTCTGGCTCTCTTCCACAGTGTGTCTTTTGTCCTGTCTCCCTCCCCTCCCTGCTAACCAAGTAACTGCCTCCCCCTGAGCCTGGTTCTGTGGGATGTTTCTTCCTGTTAAAAGGGCGTTTTTCCTTCCCACTGTCAATCGTGCATTTATATTCTATTAACAACTGAACAGCTAGAGCAACTGTAATTTCTTTTAGCCTTTTGTCCATTGTGTAATGTCAGGAGGCTTGCTAATGATCAAACAGCTACTCTGACCTGAGTTGCTATAAGGCCTCTTTTAGTTGCCTTTGTAGGGTTTAAACTAATTTTTTGTTAAAGATTCAAATCAGCAAAATAAAGACCACAAAGTTTCGGCTCAGCTGGTGTTCCCTGTAGGACTGAGGTCATCTCAGGCTGATTGCTCCGACTGTGCAAATTCTCATTAAACTCACAACAACATTACTTTAAGAAGGACAAAAAAAATCTCCATCAATAGTAGCTAATTATTTCTGGAAAAGGAACAGACTACCTGGGGAAACTGGGGCATGATTTAGGTTTTTCTGCCAGATTTGCTGTTTAATGTATGAGGCTTTGTGAGTGAACAAATCAAAGACAGAGTAGCTTTGGTCTATCAGCTTTCTAACGGCAGATGCATCCAGCCACAGCTGAGACTGGCCTATTAGCATTATTATTAGCATTATTCAGATATCATGAGACTATGTGCAAGTGCAGAGTACCTGGCTCAAAGTCTTTTCCCATTTTAATACAAAAAACAAAGTGAAAAGCATTAAATATGGTGCAAATATTAGGTTTTTATGCATATTTATAATTCATGCAGTCTAACTGGGCTAGCCGCTCTGTAGCTGATTTATTTAATCTGGAGGTAATGTGCAGACTTTCTTTCCCTGAGCAGAGACAGTCTTTGATCGACTACAGCCCCAGTACTTGTCAGTGTTTCACTGTGGCACTCACCATAGGCAGTTCCAGGACCAAATTCATTCCCTGATTCAATCATGGACTGTCCCAGCAGCTCATGATTGTTCATACGTGTGGGGACCTTCTTCTCCAGTTTCTCATAAACAAATTCTTCTAGCCGGACATCTGCAGAGCGCAAGAAGAAAACTCAATTACAAAGTCACAGGACTACAGTGAGCGAGCCAAATGCAGGGAGTGTCTTTAGTATGCTTCAGACAGCCCGACTTAAAGACCCACACTGAAAGCTTTCATTGTGACAGCTATGACAAACTACAAGCCAGCGTCTCTCGGAAACCGCTGTAATTTGTTTCATGTTACTACATCACGTGAAAGATTATCTGTGCTGTGTTTAACGTGAACACAGTAAAATCCCGTTTACCATGTCTATGACTGTTGCACAAGACTGCAACCGCCAGATGGTCGGTCTGTGTTTGTTGTGCCTATGCTGGTGTTCGGCTGCAGAGATGCGACATCATGGTGTGAAGTGAGGAGGATGCACAGCTGAGTTTACAGACTTCACAGGCACCCTACAAACCCGTGGTAGTCAAACACCCTCTCTGAGAAGTAAAGCTTTTAATGTGAGCCTTAGTGGCAGCAACAAATCTTTCATCTTTATTGAGCTGCTCTTCAGGGAATTCCTGATTCCTGAATATCAGGTTGCAGGTCTATAAGAACATTGTGTGGATGGGTGGGTGCCCTGTGCTGCTTAGAGATGTCAGTGTCAGTCCTTCGAAAGTCAAAAAGAGTGATCTTACTGGGGTTGGGCTGTAGTAAGACTTCTGTCTGCTTCATAATCTTTTCTGTCCATTGCTTGGTGCTCTCAGCTCTGATCAAAAGGTTCTCCAAATGGGCATCCAATTCTGTCTTTTCAGCCTGACCAAGCTTCTCTTCTGTAAACTGAAAAATTAAAAATATGCGTTTACATTGCGCATGCGAGTTGTAGCTTTCACAGATGTATTCAAAGATACACACAAGATGACTGAGAGTAAAAAAGCTAAGCAACGTTATTAAGCTCGGAAAATAAAGGTTAGCGCTATCTGCCAGCTGCTGTTGATAGCTTCATGTGACGGTGTTGAGGCCTTCAATGATAGTTAAGTTGAACAAATAGCTTAGTGTTAACACGACCTGGGTGAAGCACGTGCCTTTTAAATACATCCTACAATGCAAATTATAGAAATTGAGTTACAATTAGGTGTAACTGCTAAGCTACAAAGTAACAATCACGGTAACGTTAGCTCTTTAGCAAGGAAGCTAAGGCTACCTCACAGTGGCTAACGTTGGCTAGCAACAATTCATATGAACTAAATGAGTAGACTTACTTGTACCGCTCGGCTCAAAAAAGTACCGGCGTCTGCGGCTAGCCGTTTTACATTAAAATCCATGGCACAGCAGCGAAAATAAACACTTAATGTTAACAACTGGCTTGTCTCGCCCTCAAAGAGCCATCACTATACAAAATGTCATTGAAGCAACTTTTTTTGTCCAAGTTCCACCCAGCTGTTGAGTCAGGCAAAGATAGTATAGTGACAAGATTGCTCCCTTCTCTAACTTGTCAGTGGATATTGCGAATGCGCATAATAATATACGACGATGGGTGGGGACGTTGAAAATGCAGTTTAAATGTTATGAAAAGAAAAGAAAGCGTTATCGTGATACGATGCGAGGGACAGTACTTGCCTGAAATTATATGCAAGTGCTGAAGCAAGTGAATTTTGTTCTAACAGCCAAACAGTACCCTGAATATTCAATGGTGTCGCCGTATGACCAAAGGAACACAGTAGCGAGTAGGAGATTTCTCTCTTGCTTTACAAGTAATCTTTGGATGCATTCACGTCACACGGAAACATTAGCCGCCATTGTATTTATTTTGATTTTGTACTTCTTAAAAAAAGCGAATTTTTAATTTTCTGTCTTTTTTTTTTTTTAATCTGCTTTTTAAATTAACTGAGCCCGATTTCCTTTTATTTTATTTACTTATTCTAATTTTCCCCTGCAACACAGGAATGTCCCAGCCTTTGGGAAAAATAAACTATTTTTATCTTCTAAACTATAACAACTTCATTTTATACTTCTCACTCATTATGTAAACATTTCAATATAAGCTAGACATGTGGGAAAAATCCAGTTTTAACGAGGGCACGTTTTTATCAGGGTGCTAACAGTAAGGGAAAAAAAACCTTATTTCTTTTTTAAGTCACGTTAAGTTTCTTTTTTAAGGCCTTTGCCATTTACTTTCTCATGTGCCTTTGGTAACTGTGTGAAACTATTCTGTGAATCTTTCGTTATTATACCATAAATACAAATAAAAAGATTGTTGTTAATAATAATAATAATTATAATAATAATAATAATAATAATAATAATAATAATAATAATAATAATAGGATACATTATTTCTACGTTTGACATCAACAGGAGGAGGTGGTGTTGGTTGGGTTTGTGGAGGCTCATTTGCCTCCTATAAATTAATTTGCAATTCCACTGAAAGTAAAGTGCACATTAGTGCACACACAGAACTGTTAAGTACACTTTTTCCATAAAATCTGCTGACACGTGTGCTGTAACCCATCAGTAACACAATATCTTTTGCAAACATCAGCCCTTTCTCCAAAAACATCTTAACAAAAGCAGAATTTGGAATAACAAAAACACTCTTCAGGTCTGGATGTGATTATGCCAAAGTTACCTGCTGTGTGGGAGGAAGTCAGGCAGAGGGAGACATCAAATGACTTCCCCTTGCAGGCTACCAACGCACAGTCAGCCTCAACCTTTCCACTCACCAAAGCCTTGGCTCTGAGATTTCTTCATCCAAACATTAGCGCAGTCAGTGTTTAGGAAACATAGCTTAAATTCACACATAGCTCCCTTTATTTCTTTGCTAAGATAACAAACAGTACCAGTTTAAATACACTGACTGACTGCGTTAACCAGTCAATCTCTGAATGTAAAACTTTGACTGGAAAAGCAACCCAGAGTCTCCAACTGCAGCCTACGCTCAGATTTCTTTCTTAACTAAACCCACCCCATGTCAAAGATATCAAAGATTTGGCACTGCCTTATGTTTGGCTAACTTTCAGAAGTGTTGGGGCGGGTGCATTAAACATGTGAATAATAATGTCAGCACTTTCAGGAAGGCAGAACAGCTCCTGTGAGAGAGAAATAAGTGGCAGTCTCCGTGTGTTCCAGTAGTAAGTAAAGTATATCTGCTCTTTCACTTCACAATAACAGAAAGTTCTCAAAGGAGTAAGAAGACAGAAACCCACTTAATGGTTCAGCAAAACTACTCTCTCTCATCAGACATGCTTCCTGAGATTAGGAAATCCCTACTTTCCACTCCGCAGGAAAGCAAACAGCAGACAAATACAAACGTCTCAGTAACACAAGTTTTTATTTGAGAATAGGTTAAACAAGCTTTTATTTTATTTTATTTTTTTTACATGATGCAGCTTCGACCGAGCAAATAGATTCGAGTTTCATTCAGCACAAGACTTTAGAATGCAACTGTCATGGATAGCTGTGCCAAAGTACATCTGTAACTTGAGAAAGTCTCTTAAAATGCAATTATCCACAAATTCTACATAGATGATGAATTTATGGGGGCAAAAAAAATTAAAACTGAACTATGATTACTGAATCTTTTTGACCACTTTTTCAGCTAGCTCCAACAGCAGAGGGTATCTGAGCGTCCTCTTCCTCCAAGACTCTGGGATTCCCCGGAGGCCGGTCTGAAAGCACATCGAGATGACAGCTGAAAGTATCAAGCAAGCACAAAGCTCTCAGAATATCTGAGCTCACTGTGAAACTCATCAAAGGAGCTCCAGGAGTGCACAGAACAACATGTATAAAAGGATGGATTTTCACGTCTCTTGCAGAGTAGATACATTTGGACTGGATTGTGCTTGATGGCAATAAACAAGAAGAATATTTCTCCCATTAGTGCTGTATACCTCACATCTGTACTGGAAGCTTGTGGCTATTCTGACGCTGGTGATATCCCACCTACAGCTGTGCAAATATTGGTATTGGTGCAATGTCGTCTGGCTGACGAGCTCGCAGTTGAACGTCTTCACATTCTGGTGGTGTCACAGCTGTATGAGGTGCCGTTAATGTCTTTTCCTGATTCTGACTTTGCTGATTTTGTTTGTACAAAAGTAGCAACAGTATCCACTTACTCCATGTTGCCTTATCTTTTCAATGAGCAATATGTAAAAAGTGTCAGTGTTGAATGTAAACACGTTTTTTCTAGTCATACACTAATTTGGATAAGTGACCCATGGCTCTTTTTACGTGTCCAACAACCATGTTCTTACAGTACCTGTGCCCCAAAGCAGGCTCCAATGAAGGAGGCTCGACTGGCGGTGCATCCCCCGCAGCGCATGGTGTCTCTGACTGCTTCGACCAGCTGGTTGAGTGTCAGGACTCCATGAAGCGCTCCCTGGAACGCACCGGGCAAAGCTGGAAACAAATCCAGTATCCAATTCCCATCAGCCAGTCAACACAAGATGCTTTATATTGTACAGTAAAGACAATATAACAATGCAATATTAGATAGAACCCCATTGGACGACCCCCTGTGCACAAGCACTTGGCGACAGTGGGAAGGAAAAACCTCTGGTAGAACCAGAAGGGAGGGGCAACCAACCGGTTACAAGTGAGGGAAAAGAGAAGAGAACAGATAGAGAGACAGGACAAAAGGCACACTATGGAAGAAAGAGACAGAGTTTGATAATAGTTAAGTACAGCAGTGGTATAAAAGCACACAGGAAGTGAAGAAGAAAAGCTCGGTGCATCGTGGGAAGCCTCCAGCAGCGTAACTAAGGGAGGGTTTAACTGTAAAAGCTCTATCACAAAAGTAGAGACAGAGTTTGTTTCCTGACTCTAAACTGGGAGCTGGTTCAAAGAGAAAGGCTCTGAAAGCTGAAGGTTCTCCCTCCCAGTCTACTTTTAAATACCCTGGAACCACAAGTTAGCTTGCAGTCTGAGAATGAAGTGCCCTGTTAGCATATTAAGATACTATGAGGTCTTTAGCGGCTTTACACTATACTTAAAATGTACATTATATTAATGGTGTGAACTGGCAAGCAGAACTTTCCACGTGTACATTAAGTATCTGAACCCTTTTAGCCCTGTAAAACCCGAGACACTCAACTCAGCGGGAACGGGAGAATGAAAAGCCAGGAGGAGGGAGACCATTAGTCAGGAGATCAAAGACTGGAGCGCTACACTGACAGGAAGGGTCCTGCTGCTGCCTGCTAGCTTACCTCATGTGTTTGTGAACACGGCAGGTATGAGCTGTTGGGATGTCTTGGTGAGGTTGTCCTTCACCTGGCTGATATGAGCTTGAGTGGAGACACGGGAACAGAGATGAGAGGTATTGTTTTGTTTGTTATTGTTTTTCTTGTAACAAATTACTTTTGATTCTGAAATACAAACTGACAAGTCTTAAAGGAAAAGTTGCTTTCTGTCTTCAGGCTTATTTAAAGGACATAATGGAGAAGTAATGCAAAGAGAACCACCAATATGCAGCTTTTTTGTAACAAACCCTACGATAGTGCCTTACGTGGACTGTATGTACAGGTATGCAATGTACAGGCTTCAGTCAGCTGTGACCTTGGATTTGTTCATGGCTACAGATCACACCACATAACAGCGTGCTGCCTCCTTCCTGACCATGTCTATACTGTCCTACCAAATCATATCTATAAAAGATAAATGCAGCTTATGTCAAGATAGTGGTGGACTGTGACTAATGCTACAATTAATCACTGCGCTTCAGTGCAAACTTAAGTTTAGATTTACTGCAGTTTTATCACTGTTTTCATGCCATTTCTGCCCAGTGCAAGCTGGATATCTCCAAATGCGGTGATTAGGAATGTTTGTGATAAACTGAATCATTTGGTGCTTTTTCATGGCTTTGGAAACTTAAGTTAAACAAAATATTTCATAACCCTCTTGGATTAGCTGCAAAATGCGATAAAGCTGAAGCAAGACTTTTTATTTTTTGAGCTCATGGAAGCTGACTTTATAGGAATGTGGTTCTCACAGTTAAAGCAGTTAAAACATCTGTGAACATAAAAAAAAACAGTCAAATACAACAAAACCATGAATGCAGCATACTTTAAATTCACATGCTAATAATGTTTTCTACTTTTTCCTGTTAAGTTTGTGAATGCAATCATTGTAAAGTATGATTAAAGTGAGGCATAAACACTTTTGCTATAGTAAAGGATTTAAAGACAGTCCATCCTGTGTGTTAATATTAGTAGTTAAGACAGATGCACCAGTTAGCACAAGTAAGCTTAAGCTAACTGGTGCATCTGGTCAAAAAGCTTAATATCTTTATCCTTTTTCTAGCTTCTGAGTCAAAGCTAGTTTGACATTTTGTGATTTTCTATGAGTAAATATGCTACTACCTTTTCATTTTATTGTGAAACGTTAACTGTCAAATAGAAAAGTGATGCCACTCAAACATTTGTCGATTGAATCTAAAGCTATGAAGCTAGAAACTGCTAACCTTGGTTTAACATAAAGGCTTAAAGGGAAACTTTAGACAGTATCAAAGATGGACTTAGCTTTCTAGTCAGAAAAATGAAGCCAATGCATTCTATGTAAAGGCCACCAGATGGCGATATGCTTTGGTGGCAAAAAAGTCCTATAGAAATCTATGGGGAAATTGATTTGTGTCTCGCTCTCTGTGAACACTTTTTGGATGATTTCCCTGGCTCAGTCACTCAGTTTAAGTCATGCTGAGTAAAAGTTGAACAAATCTAAGTTATACTTTGTTTTGAAATATGGTATGAAACTACACACTAGTTGGCTAAGAATTTAGTCATTAGCCAATGTTTCCAGTCAAAATTTATAGTCAGATCCTCCTCTCACTGTTACATTCATTTTTTTCCCTTTTGTGCAACAAAGATGAAACACTTATCTCAAGGCTTTAAAACAGGACTTGGAAACTAATGGCTGATTTTGCTGTAGCTCTTTTATACTGTCTCTGTCCAGCAGCTCTATAGCTCATTAGTTGTTTGTTTAAACTGCTCACTCTTGGGCTATTTATAAGATTTAGTGAGAGTTGAGCTAGCCATTTCCCTCATATGCCAAACCAAAGCAGGCTAATCAAACTTTGGTTCTAGCTTTATATTTATATCCGTCTGTTTTCACGGCTGCTTCTCCTGTTCAAGAGTAATCTGCAGCCTATCACAGCTGTCACTGGGGAAGAGCCTATCACATGGTTAACAAGGACAGTCATTCAGAGCTAAGGCCATTTAGACCCACGAGTCAACCAGACACTCATACAGGCACTGAGAACATGCTAAAATCCACCCAGAAAGGTTCACCCAGAACATTCTTGTTTTTTATAGTGATCCTTCTATTTAAGAGTAGCATCAATTTTCTCCTGTATTCTTCTTGCATTATTCCTTTAAATTCCATATCGAATGAGTCTTCAAACCCTTACCAATGACAGCCTTGTCCAGCTCTTGAGGATTCTGTCTATCGGGGTCATTCAGCTGAGCCAGAACTGCATCCAGAGCGTTGGGATCTGGACCCTTCACAATGAAATGCTCCAAAAACCTAATGTTGCACAAACAAAGTCAGACAGATGGATAGAGGCTTGCAATTCCCTAGCCTGCCATGACGTGTCCACTTACCTCGCTGCAGCCAGTGTGACAGCCACACACATGTCATTATTCTGGGTCACGCGAATGGCTTTTTCCACTTTCTCCAGCATCTCAGGTCGCCCGGCGTACATAGCCACCACAGGAGCAATTTTAGTGACACCGTCTATCTGACAGTCCACGTCACAGCCTCAAAGACAAAACACGTGAAGATTACAACCTTGGCAAATCAGGGCATGGAAAAGTCTTTGCGCAGTTGTGATATTTACCAGTTTCTTCTTTGCCAGCATCGACATTTCTGATGAAAGCCTTCAGGCTCGCATTCCTCCATGGGCCATCGATGGGGAGAATTACCTTAGGGCCTATCAAATGCAACAAACAGCTGCTTTATGAGGGAGGGAAGAATTGGTAGATATACAGCAGGAAGAAGAGGAAAAGAAACATTCCCTTGGATGTCCTGATGGAGCTGTTTAAGCTTCTGCAGGTGGAGCTCTGTTCTCTGTTCAGTCATGATGGCTATCGCTGGCCATGATGACACAGCTCTTCTTAAACTATTCCAAGAAGACATAAAACCATCTGCAGTTCATTGTACCCAAAGTGCCCCGTGGTGCTATGGCAATTTACTGCACAACAATATTTATACGACACCCTGGCGGCAGAAAAAACAGCCAATATTCAAAGTGCTGGACAAAAACCAACTAAAGAAAAAAAAAGGAAGTCTGACTTTGGAACATTTTCATGGAAAGGGAATGCCCCCATCAGCAGGACGAAAAACAGCACGCACAGAGTTATCATGCAGAAACACAGGCTCTCACAAAGTTAATCACCACCTGTTAAGCTGGTGATTAACTCATGGAAATTGCGAAATTGATAGATGGCAGCCACACAAGCACAGTACCTCCTTTCTTTCTGTATGGGTCATTCAGGGGCAGATCGTAGACCGTCCCCGGTCCAAAGAACTCATGAAAGCGCTTGGTCAAGTCTTCCACATTAACGCCTGTCGAAACGGGGCAACACTCTGCGTCAGTGTAAGTAGTTCTCACAGGCTTCACGTTAAAAGGTCATGGTTTAACAATGTTATAATCTAATAATATAAATGTTGGGTAACACTTTATAACAGCTGACGACTGAGGGCACAATTCCCCAATACCCATATGGAAAAGATATATATAAATCTTATAAAGTTTGTATCTGTCTTGTATGAAACTTGTATGAAAAGCATACAAGAGTGAAAACACATATAAGATCCCTTGAAAAATTATATAATGAAACTTGTATGTTTTGTATACTTACTAAAAAAATATATGAAAGTAATGAGAAAGTGGCCACTTTCATGAGTAAATCATATATGTTTTTACTATTTCTTTTCCATATGGGATAATTAAATGGAATTTAAATGTATTTGCAATTATGTTACCTATAAATACTTAAAGGTAGGCACACTAGGAGGGTAACAAAGACATAATTACACGGTGAGGAAAATCTAAGTCATTTTAAGTAATGTTTAAGTAGTAGTGCATGACTTTTGGGTTTTTACAAGAAAGGGGGAAGAAATATATTATTTAAGTAATCTTAAATTCTGCATAATTTCCTCGTAATTTTGCAGAAAAACAATATTTCCCCATATGACATCATAAGTATGCTAACTTTTCATATTATGGTTTACCTCGTCTAAATTGCAGGTGTTTTACAGGAAAGGAGACTTTCAAGTTATGCAGAACTTAAAATTACCCATACACTATATAAAATTATTTATGATCACTTAAAAGTATTTGCACACTACCTAAATTTACTTACAGTAAAAACGTGATTTGTTAAATTCTAAATTAAACACGCTGGCAGGTGTATGACACACAGTTGCCGCCTGTCTGGGCGACTTTCACTACCTCCACACCGACTCAGCGACTCCAGCAGGACGTATGCCTGGTCTCCATAGCAGGTCTGCTCGCCCGTCGTCCTGCGGTAGAACGGATTCGCTGACTGAGGCCGAAACTCTGGACAAGGCTCCAGATCACGGAGCACTTCTTTCAGTTTGTCCAGGTCGTAGATCCAGTGCATGGGCTGGGCTGTATGTGTGTGGAACATTCAATAATGGATATATTATTTCCCAGAGTTATTGAAAACACAGACATCCTAATGCATTACAATAACAAGCATGTTTTAACAATGGCAAACGGCAGTATGTGGTGTTTGGTTGCTACGCAGAAACTCTGGTTCCATAACACCATGGGTGAAGATGACATCCAGGCACCACCCCTGTGCTTTATCAGTCAACACAGATGTTGCTTAATTGTACTGATATGAAATGTCATAACACCAAAAATGGAGAAAATGTGACGTATAAAGGCTTCTCAGTTTTACTCTAAGAAATAAACATGAATTCAACATGAACCCTGTGAAAGCATCAGGTCTATGAATTATTAGGATACGGGGACTAAAAGAGAAAGATCTGCAATATGTAAAACTCTGTTGCTAATTAACTCACTCCCGGTATCTGCACTCGGTTTATCTTACCTGCTGCATCTGCCACTGCTGCCCCGATAATGGCCCCAATGGCTCTGTCTGCAACACTCGAGGACATCTGCTTTCATTACAGCCAAACAGCAGTATAAACAGGAAATGCTGCATTCTTATATAAAATGGGTATTCTTATGACAATAAAGCATGAGCCATAAAAAGCGACTCTTGTCTGAAATGTCTGTAATTTTCATTAAAGAAACAGGAATGTTTCTCCGTGACGTTGGAAATGCTTTTATGTTGCCAGCAACTAAAATGCTTTGACATGTTTAATTTTAATTCACTGCTTTCGGTGGTTAATGCTGCTATTGGAAATCCAGATGCACAAGTAGATCTTTTATAATGGGATCAAACTTGCCTTCATGGACTTAAATACCACCTATTTTGACAAGAAAAAGACGTTACCATGTAAACTTACACAACACAGCATTGACTATATGTGATTATGTAACATCTGGTGAAAAGATTAGAGGTATTCATGTCTATTCCAGACTTTATATCTATAGGGAGAGCATGCATTTACTGTATATGGTGCATCATAAAGTATAACTTCTGTTAATAACAAGAAAATGTTTTATTGGTTCCTACCTTACGTCCAGTCTTCTCCCTTTGCCATACCGCTTTGAGTGCTCTTGTGTCACTGACAGTTTAGGATAAGGGGAGGGCAATGATAAGCACACGGCAACTCAAGAAAAATGGAGGCCAACTGGACGTTGAAATGCAACGAAAAGTATAAACGGAATACACGGGGAGGCTGATGATAATGTCATCAGTTCTAATGACATTATCAAATGAGATGAGAGTCTAAGATAGCCATTTAATAAGATTGCTGTAAAACATCCAGCCATTATAGATAGACAGACTGATTTCTCACAGAACCACACAAATGTCGGGTTTATGGTAGACCTCATGGTACATATAGTGAGAATTACTAAACTACAAATATCTCCAGCAATGGAAGGGAAGGGAAAAGAAGTGCCCTCCTTGAAAGCCTGGATTTCAGTATTGACAGATACTCTTCATCTGGAAAGGATCCGCTACATTATAAGTGACAAACTGGAGGACTTTGATCAGATTTGGAGGCCACTCATTGAGCACCTGAAAGTTATTATGTGGACTTCAACATTGCTTAAAATAAGCTGATAGCACTCTGGGATAAGGGAGGAGGGTTTTTTTGGGTTTTTTTGACCGCCCTTTTTTGGTTCGCTTTGTTTTCCCCCTTTTTTTTTGATGCCAAAACTGTAAAAAGGAAGCAATGTCAGTCTATGGGACAATTTGTGATTGTTATTTGTGCTTCACAATAAAAATATTTAAAGAGAAATATCTCCAGCAAGCCATCCAGTTACTTCACACAATTAAAAACTAGACAACCTTGAATAATTTGGGTTCATCTCATGAGTCCGTGGTCATTTTGTATTTAAGGAGAAGTGAGAGCACACTTTCAGAGGAAGGAAACACACATTTCACATTGTGCCATTCTGCAGACCTAACACTGGGGGTCACACCCTTCATCGTCTCAGTCTGGCTCTTTTATCACACATAGAGTTTCCTCATTTGAGCGCATGTGTTTAAACTCAAAACTGTTTGAATAACCTCTTTTTTTTCTTTTTGGTTAACTTGCACTTAATAAACTCTACTCCAATACCGCCTGGCAAATTTCTCCCTGCAGAAAATAGCCCTCACAGACTCTCTTTGTCACTTTGATTTGGTATGCTCTTTTTCTATGTATCTTCCACTCCATTGCCTCCATTCTGACACTTTCCCAGCTGATCCTCTCCGCTGCACTGCTGCAGTAAAGCCTGGCCGGTCTCCATTTATCCCAGACCTCTCATGGGTATCCCAGGGCATTGATTTCTCTTCTGGCCTCCTAAAACAGCAAAATAGAGTACTAAGGGTAAGGTCAGACAATCAATACCAGTTACAGTTGCCGCCGTTGTTACGGTCGCCTTCAGTGTTACCTCTGGGTTATACAACCCCAATTCCAAAAGAGCTGGGACGCTGTGTAAAATGTAATCGCAATAGAATAGAGAAACCATATGAAATGTCTCAGAGAACTTGGGATGGGGCCATGTTTACCACTGTGTAGCGTCCCCTCTTCTTTTTTTAAAAGCAGTCCATGAGCATCTGGGAATTGAGGAGACCAGCTGCTGGATATTTTGGATATTAATGTTCTTGTTCTTGCTGCTCCGTAGTCCTGGGTCTTCTTTGTTATAGCTTTTCATTTCATGATGTGCCAGATGTTTTTAGTTGGTGAAAGCTCCAGCACCGGGACTCTTCTACTACAAAGGTTTTTAATTCAACTCAGTTTTATTTATATATTATATATATTATCAAATATTTTCATGAAATTGTGAAATATCTCATTTTCACCATTACAACACAACATCTGTGTAATATTGGGAGCTTATAAGATTTGGAAATCATTGAATTCTGTTTTAAATGTACCTTTTACACAGTGAATGAAATGATGAATTGCATATAGTAAAACATTCACTCAGATAAGAGACTTCTAACAAGGGCGGTTTAATGAACACGTACAGCCCGTTTGAATTCATGTAAATATATTGAGCCACAGGTACGGCTAATAGATCAATCTTCAGAAGGCAAATGGAGAGCATTCGCTTTCTCTGTCAGGGAGCTAGCACACCTTTCACAGAGGGGATGCAAGAGCTGCACATAACAGATCACATGCTGTCACTAGATCAAGTGACACAGTGAGAGGGCTGAAGCGCCATAATTTACAGGCGGACAAGATGATATTGATAGAGTGTGAACAACGCTGCAACGCCCGCATGCTCGGGGGACTGCTAAAGCTTGGGTGCTCTGATCATCTGGCAAGACAGTGGGGAGAGGAGGAGATGGCACTCAGTTAGCAGATGTCAATATTAGCTAAGTGTCAATGTGTAAGGGGTGTGAATGCTGACAGCACGGAGTAACACATACAGGATGGCTAAAACAGGAGTAGTTAATTTAGTTTTGGGTCTCTTTTCTGTGTCATAAAGTAGCATAAGACTGAATACAAATATATCTCAGGCACCACTTCAAGGTAAACAGGTACAGGTGGTTAATGTGGTGACAGGGCCACTTTCATATCCACAGGTCAAAAGGAGAAATATTATGTAAACCGTGCTGTGTGAAACATTAGATTCTTGTAGTTCATGACTGAATACAGTGACGTGAAAAAGAAAGTTTTTACAGGATTCTGTGCAGTCCTGTAAAAAACTACCAGTACCTTTAGCCTCAGTAACTGGTTTCTGTTTGACTTTATCAGTCTGTTGTGTCAGTGTGGCCCAATCTTCTTTTTAACAGTGCTTCAGGTCTTTGAGGTTTGTAGGAATTCATTCATGCACAGCTCTCCTAAGGTCCTGCTACAGTCCGATTGAAGTCTGGACATTGACAGGACCATTGGAACTTCTTGATTCTTTTCTTGTTCTAGCTTTAATGCTGCACTTCAGATCTTTGTCCTGTTGGATGACCCAATTTCAATATTACCAATATAAACTTTTTCTCTGGTTGACTGCATCTAAACAGCTGTATTACTTTAAATTATATAAGGGTCTTTGATAGTTTTACAGCAGTAAGTTAATCAAATCATCATGGTTATTTGTAGGAAAAAGCTCAGCTAGTAAAACATTTTAAACACCCAATGAAGCAGGAGGAAAAACCAAGTTGATCTCTGGTGAAGAGGAGTCTTCTTACAATATCCTTTTTGTTCCTGAGATATATTCAGCTCAGTCTTTTATCTTCTTTTTCTGCCATATTTTTGGTTTTGCTTCTCCTCAGTAGCTCAGTGAACCTTACAGCTCGTTGACTTGATTGCTGACTTTAATTATGTGCTGTGACAAGACAAAAAAATTAAAAAAAAAAATCCTGGCACTGAGATCACATCTGCCATATGTGCCCAGACATTATCATGCTGCTTCTTGGACGCTCAAATGGTTAGTCATTACCTTTCAGTTCTAAGCAGCAAAATAACCCAGAAACACTCAGATCGAAGGCAGTAACACCACGGTTTGGTGCATTTACTTCAGATCACTGGGTTTTTGCATCTCTGTGTAGCTGCGATTTGAGCTGAATTTATACATTTTTATGAAAAAGGCTGAAAATGCATGGCAGAAAATCCTCCATTACACTTTAAACTCTTGTGTGTTTACCCACAGTCCCCATGGACACTAATCAGAGGTATGCTGATAATTGTCATGGCTGTCCACTCTGGGAGAGGAAGCTGAAACAGGAGAAGGGTGCAGAGAGGTCCGCCAGCATCCGGCTGCTAGCCATCTCTCCGGTCATCTGTGCTATGCCAGCCATGGCATCCAGAGTAAAGCCTGTGGAAGACAAAGCTGGATGCTTACAACCAAACCGCACAACCTCCCTCCATATTTAATCACACTAAATCTAAATGCAATGTGGATAAACAAACGAGCAGGCATTCCTGTTCCAACCCTGACATTCATCCAAGTCCAAATCTGCACAAATAAGAGGAGAAGAAGTGGAGATGAGGAGCTGAGATGCGGGGTGGGGATCACAGAAGTGTTTACAACCGCAAAATGATGGAGACTAATCTTCACGGCATTGTTTGCACGGACCCCATGTGTTCAGTCATTTCATGGAAATAGACTCGGCAGTATTCATCTGCACACATTCTTTGCATTGCATTTATATATATATACATATATATTTATGAGTGGTTATCTGCTTTAGTGCACTGAGAATCTTACTGAAAATGAAATTAAACTGGAAGATGTGCGTCTCATCTCGTCTCATCTTCTCTAATTTCTGGGCCCACTCTGAGAGCAGCCTCATGTAGCCCTGTTAATGAGATTACCAGCACTTTCTTCTTAAGGGATTGTATTAGCTTTCACATGCTGGACTCTCACATTCCAGTCGCTGTTATGTAATTCATACAGTTTTTGCAACGGGCAGGTAGATCGCTCCACTTTTTAAATCTTTCTGTAGCAGTATATAGTTCTGCTATTAACTTTTCAGGCTTTTTTTTGTCTCCTCTGCAGACTTTCTGTCGTGTATTGCTTTTTATTGTGCTAGCACACCAACAGGAATCAATAAAAGTAGTCTAATTCCTCTCTCAGGTGCCCTCTCCTGCTCCACATTCATGCCTGGAGCTTAATTGCATTGCTCAACAACATCATGCCAGCCACATGGGATGGAGTCTAGGTGTGTGTTGGGCCAAACAACTGTGTAAGGCTACCCAATAATCTCACACGTGGTAAAAGATGAAAAGGCAGCTCGCACGTGCTGTACTACCCCGCATCCTTTCCATTTCCATTACCAAGCAGTTCACTACACTTGATCTGATGAATGTAAGTCTGAAGAGTCAGCGACTAGCGTTCTAGTCTAAATCTAGTCAATTTTTCTTTCTTTCCCCACACAGAACCAATAAAAGATGAATCCATCTTCAGATAGAACCACGTGTTGGCTCAGTCATGCAACTCTTTTGGAAGAAATAGCAGACTGCAGCATACATTCGCCTTTTCCACTATTGTATCAAAGTGATCATTAAACATGAACTCTAAAAACAAGCCAATCGTGTACCGTTTTTATGGTAAAGATCACTGGGTTGTCCAGTTGTTTATAGTGTTTATTTAGTGACTGTTTGAAGCTTTATTAGGATGGAAGTAGATGCAAAAACAGAAGTATTTGTTCCATAATCAGGTAATGCAGGTTCCATAATAATTCATGTTCCTGGAATGGTTTTATCTGATAAGGAATAAATAACAAAAACATAACAAAATACTTTCCAGGATGACAAAGTCGGACAAAAAGCGTGAGTTCTCCTTTCCTGCATCTGACAAATCAGCGGCAGTCTTCCTGGTTAAAAGTTGAGTGCGCAGCGTGTCTCCAGCATATTGAACATTAGCAGATAAGGCACATCTGCCTTCTTGTGCATTCACTCATGCAGGATTTCTTCTTCAAACGCCCCCGATGCATCGCTGAACAGGAGCGTGTGGCCACCCTTGACTGCAGAAAATACAAAGCAGACACATGCAGACAAAATGCTTCAGTTCAATACTGTCCTGAGTGGAAGGTCATACTTAATGCAACAGATATAACTGCTGTAAAACACTCCACTGTGGCTTATCTCAAAAGAGGGTACAAAGAGATATTAAGCAAAAAAAAAAAGTATTTAAATAATATCAAATTTTATGGGAAGCAAAAATGCATGTGTGCTAAGTGGAATGAAAGTGGGTTCCGTGTCTCACGCAGATATTCATTTAGTGTGTGTAATCATTAAAGCATTTAAGCAGCACCTCCCATTACTCTGTCTGTGCAGCTGGGATATTTGCAGACCTTGGACTTGATGTAGTTCTGATACTTGACGGTGAACAGGAGTTTAAAATGCTTTAGCGCCTGTGTGTATTTAGTGTAAGTGTGACTGTATGCTTTATGTGGTTATTTCTTGCATTGCAATAGACGCATCTCCACGAGCCTATGGGTGGCAAGCGGAAGAGGTGAAGAGCTGGGTGAGGGGGAGGGAAGAGAGTCGTAGAGAGATGGAGAGAGAGCGCGAGTGAGTGAGAGAGGGAGCGAGGGAGGGAGAGAGAGAGATAGGAAGGGTGCAGGGTGCGCTCCATCCACAGCCTCTCTCACTGTGTCGGACTGTCATCCCTGGAGCAGTCGCCTGAATCTCCGCCACCCTGTGCAGCGGACCTCCTCAGCTTTCATCTGTTTTTTAGAGTTGTAGCATGGATACGATTTAGGCTAACGCGTAAGACACCACCTAACAGTCATTAGTTTCATTTAAAGAAACCTCCTGAAGCTCTCCGAAGCCGAAGTCACAATAATGATGGAGTACTGGAGGCAATGCGCGCTGTGGCTGATAAACTGCAAGGTGCTCCCAGCTAACCACCGGGTTACGTGGGACTCTGCTCAGGTATTTGACTTGGCTCAAACCCTCCGGGATGGAGTCCTCCTGTGCCATCTGCTCAACAACCTCAGACCCCAGACCATCAACCTGAAGGAGATCAACCTCCGGCCGCAAATGTCACAGGTAAGAAGCGGACCGCAGACACCCCCTATTGTCCGTTCCTCCCTTTCGTCGCCGAAACTTGGTCCCGGTTGAGAGGGCCAGACTCCGTTAGAACTGAGCGTCTTTAAAGTTTCACTGCTTTTCGGTAAAAATTGGACTTCTGCTACAACACCATCAAATCTTAACTCGACTGCAGAGCCTTCATTTGTAATTCGGCACAACGTGGTTCACAAATAAAGGCACGGTTTCAACAAATGTCGAACTTTTCCAAAGATCTTGGTTGCCGCCGATCCCCAAACTGTGAGGTTCAGCGGCGGAAAGCGGCACAAAAGCGACGGTGTCAGCTCACGTTTGTTGTCGTATAGTCAACTTGAGGGCCTTGTCCGTGTGCGAAACGTATGCCGAAGAAAAAAACGTGCTCCTTTCCATTCCAGAGAGCTCATATTCGCTGTTTTACGGAGTGAACAGGTTTGACAGACGGAGGGGAAATCGCTAAAATATAGGAAAAAATGGACGGACTTTGGTAGCCAACTTTGCGCTGCATTAAAGTTGTAGCGTGAGCGAAAACGACCACAAGCTGACTTTCTCAAATTCTGTCAGTTCACTTAGTAGCTGGTGGTTGGTGGTTGCTATACAAGAGACAGGTCAAAAAATAAACATGGGCTCTTCAGCAGGCCCTTTGCACATGATGTTTGTACACAGGGCATAAGATTAAGCCGTTACGTTTTCTTGTAAACGATGCTAATTAGAGAATTTCTTTGCTTTAAAGAAAATATGATTCACGATGACAGATAGGAGTGCAGTGCTTTAAAAAAAGAAAAGAAAAGAGAAACCAAGAAAAAATGGCTTGTTTGGCTTGCCTAAGGAAGAGTAAGAGTTAACAAAGGCAACCATATAATCTCCTTTGTCTTTATTTTATGGGATAGATAGACAGATAGATGTGGCCATGTGGCTCTACTTTTATTTTGGTACCATCTGCTTCAATGACAGGACAGCTTGAACCAGGACCAGATTAATATTCACCTTCATAACAGTGAATCTGGGCGTCTGGCGTGGTGACAGCACACACAGCGACATAGCCACTCACCTACTGAGTCTGCAGGCCTGTTGTAGGAGTATTAAACTGCCTGAATAACACACACAGCCGTGCACACACATTACCGTGTGTTACCTGTAATCGATGCTCTAATGCTCTCATCCACTCCAAACAGGTGATTAAGGTATGATATCTGTACCGTGATGTACTGCACGTCTGATGGAGAGGAGGGGATTAGGCTGGTTTCCTGGAAAAAAAAGCACAGCCGATAGGATATGCAGTTACCGCTCGTTCACAATTGAATTGGGAATCCACTGTTTGAGCTCTGCGTCCGGGTCAAGTGGACGTTTTAAGAAAGCCTAGAAGATTTTAATGTTATCAGGGGCAGTGGAAATAATCCTTTTCAAGGATCTGCTTACACAGTCAGTTGTGTAAATCTGATCGGGGCTGTAAGAGAAGCCTATTAGTCCATTTACTGGCAGATGTTACGTTTGAATCAATGTCACTGCTCTAACGCAGAGTTATCAGTAGTTGAGTGTTGTCTGTCAGCCGTGACATAATGACATGCTGTGTGTGGAAAGGTTATGAACTGCATTTACGCTCAGTGCCCGGCCTGGCCCGGCCTAGACTAGCTTATTTATAGACAGACTGCGTTTTATGCACGGTTGGATGGCTTACACAAACCGAGTCAGTGATGAAGCCACACTCAAAGGCAAATTAGCATTAGTAGTAGGCTTGAGCACGATCCCATACGTTTAGAAAGTCCATTTGGTGATGTTGCCACTGTGTTTTTGTATTTCCCAAATTCAAGTTAAACAGTGTACAATAGCTTTCTCTGTTAAGTCCGAGGTTTCTAGGTGGGCGTTATTTTGTTGTAATTGCTAACGCAACACACATATTGCAGTTCACCTTTTGTTTTTTGCAGTAGGGTGTGAAGTGCATTACTTCCCATTGGCTGAACAGAATATCTACAAGATCATAGCAGCAGTTATACACCTTTATGACCTCTTTATAGGTTCAGGTACTCCAAGCTTTGGTTCTGCTTACAAAGTATTACTATGAGTAGCGAGTATTTGTTCTCAGGCTGACATGTCAGTAAAACCATAACTCATAGCTTTTCCTTTCAAGCACATTCACACCACATGAGGCTGGATATAAACACCCCGACTCCTTCTACATGCACATAATCGTAAAAAAAAAAAAGGGTGACAGAAGCCCCCCTACAACTTTCCTCCCTCTGTCTCCTCTAAGTTAAATTTATGAAACTGAGGGTGGAGCTGCTTCCCTCTTTCACCCTGCATAATTCATGAGGACCGTGGCAGCTACTTTATCATTGGCCAATAATAACACATGGGACGCCACTGTGGCCTCACCCATGGGACCTACGAGAGGGAAAGACAAAGGCAGTGGTAGGACAGGGCTACAAAGGGCCTGTCTAGCCTCCACAGAGGCATCTCAGAGGACATAATGGGACCTGCAGGGCTAGCCTGCTGCATTGAGGTTGGCTGCTTTAATTAATGTATGATGCTTCAGAATCTCTGGAGAGCTCATGTGTGTGATGTCGAAATCAGGGCTGCTTCTCTCTCTGCACCATTAATTGTGTTTAGGTTATTGGTAAGGTCTATATTGTGTTTCATTTCTGTTAGGAAATGGACCATGTCAGGCCATCAGACCCCCAGTAGGTCACTCAGATGTTGGATGAAAAAGCTGTGAAATGATCAAATAAAGTACCTGATGTCTGTATATTTTTTATTTATATAGCACCAAATAACAACAATAGTTGACCAAGATCTTACAATAATGCAGAGAAAACAGCAACAATCAGACGACTATGATCAAGCATTTGGCGACAGTGGGAAGGAAAAACGTCCTTTTAAAAGGAAGAAGTTTCTGGCAGACTTAGGGAGGAGCAACAATCTATTGGGGATTCTCAGCTCATACTAATGAAATGAGTTGATGTGTACTGTAGCTTTTTTTCTGGTGAAGGCTACTTTTTTAAAGCCTTGAGTTTAGCATTTTTTTCTGTTGCTCTTGGTTTTTGGAGCCTGAAGTGGCCATATTTGGCTAAGAAGTTGGAGGGCTAAGTTAACGCTAATGCTTACTTGGTTAGCAAAGTGCATCCATCAGTTATAGGGAACACAGTCATATATGCATGTTATCAACCTCTTAGGTGGTCTATTGCTACTAACTGGACAGCAAAGAATACTTTTTTATCAGGTAAAGATTCCCGACACAGTGCCAACACCACAAACACGATTACGAGGTCTAGTTCACTGACTCCAGTTAGCTACGGTGAAGCTTTGAAGACAACTGTTGTCTTAGCGGCTGATGTCTCATGTGTTTAGGCTTCAATGCAATGTAAATAAGTGAGGTATGTAAAAATGCACCTCTGCTGCAGTTGTCATTAAAGGGAAGTTGTCCAAAAAGAGAGAAAACATGCTTATTTCTTAAGCGACGTTGGGCAATGGACGAGTCTGTGGGGGATGACTTGTTTTTTTAAGCCTTCTAGAAAACTGCAGTTTATGTTTTGCCACTGGTGTGTAGGCATCATTTTTCAAACTAAGAGGTTGCCCTTTGGTGAAAGGAAAAAAAAAAGATGTCAGTACAATGAACAAAGATTGGTTAAGTAGACATTCGTCTGTTTATGTGTCTGGAATTGTGCAAACGGCACGGTATTTGCTTTTACCTAGCATCAGTATATCAGTATCAGGACCTAGTGTCAATATAAAGCAAGATTTTGACCCATTTTGATCAGAGCTTTTACATTGCAGGGCACGACCATAATTGTAGTCTAGACACAGCTCAACCACAGCCCAAGCAGCATTCTGGTTTTCTACCCAACAAAGACCACATAATCAGTAGTTGTTTTTGACTCAGTGGAATTCAGGCTTTAGCTTTAAGAGGAACCGTGGATTGCTTGTCATGGTGCAACCAGCAAACCCTCCCTGTGTGAGCTGGTTGCATTTGTCTGAGTGTCTGTCACAGAATGTACTAAAAACACAATAGGAAAAGGATAGGGTAAAGGACAACCAGTGACTGGCTGTGAATTTGCAAAGAACGCCATGAAATTGTTACTGCGTTGGGTTTAAAAGCATATAATTATATCATTTGATTGAAGTTGAAATCTGCCCTTGTGCCCCAAACTTGTCTAGCCTGCTGTTGCGTTCCATGACACAGGATTTTAAACTGCAGCTTCAGAGCGAGAACGCTGCCGCAAAACCAACCAGCTGCTAAAAGTCTGTCAGTCGGACCGGCCGTGAGCCTCAACGTGCACAGGAAATCAGGAAATGGAATAGAGGAAGGAAGTGAAACCAAACATGCCCTCGATGAAGCTCAGACCAAAGAACGCAATTAAGAGTAAAGAAACTTCTCTCTTCACAGTGCACGGAAGAAGAAGAAGAAAAAAAAGAATTGTTCTTTATAGAATTGTCTTCAAAGATGTCAAGGCCGAGTCTTCATTTTTGGAAAGCGAAAGTGAGAGAATGACGGCGTGTGAATGACAGTCTGGTCTAATTTTAACACGCCTCAAACAGCAGAGAGGTTTTCAGAGAGCACTGAAGCTGATTAACAGTCAAAAAAAGCAACAGAGGATGCTTTCTTCATTTTTGCGCAGATACCAGCGAAGACCCAATTAACACATTTATGAATTCTATTCATGCGATGCAGACTAGTGTGATGTAATCTATCCATTATACTCTTTAAAACAACTAATAAACAGCAAATGTATTTATTTTTGATCATTTTCCATAATACATTTTGACAGGTGTGTGGTTTCACCTGACCTGGATATGACCCTTTAAAGGTCTTGTACACATGGTACGCTTAGAGAATGGTGTTATACACTATACATGGCACATATGTATATTTTATTGGACTCAGACCAAAGTTCTGTGATGCAAAGCAAAGAAGCCACTTTCCCACTGTGAGCTCTGTGTACAGCAGGCTTCAAAGACTCAGAGGCTCGCGCTTCAGTTGCAGAGACAAA